ACTCTTTCTCCCCATCCTCAGGACTGCCTTAATGTTAGGCTGTGAATATGGCTGCAGGGATGCAGTGGAAGTTTTGCTCAAAAATGGTGCGGATGTTAGTTTGACTGATGGCCTTGGTCATGACTGTGCTTACTATGCCAGGATTGGGGACAATATTGACATTTTGGCTTTAATAAAAGCTGCCGTTGAGGATTCCAGCAAAGGTATGAACAATGTGACTACAACAGCTTGCTGTTAGTCTTTCATTTGAACTGTGCATCTTCCCACTGCTGTGTCTTCAGGAACTATGTTTTTGGAGGGCAGCTGTAGTCCTTTGAGCACACAGGTGATAAACTGTCTGTTAGTGAGGGGAAAGAGGGCTTTGGGGTTCTGTTTTTAGTAAAGCTTTTAAGGTAAATGCAGACTCTGATGCCTTGAGGTATTAACATTGCTTGAACCTGGCATTGCAGTATTGATCATAGGAGTTATTTAGCCTCTTCTATAGAAGAACTTTGTACTTGTGAATGTTTCCATGTTGGATTAACTGGGGGTGTGGTGAATCTAATTATTGAAATGATCAAAAATAGATAGAATCAGCTGTTGGTGTTGCAGGGGTCTGAAATGCATATTTTAACTTCCTGCTTTTGTGATGTCTTTTTAGGAAGAGATAGCATGAAGAAGGGGCAGCCTGAACAAAAGGTAAGGCTGCTTGTACTATGTCTCTCTAAGGCAGTATATTCCTGGGGTTGCTGAGAGGGTGATTAAGGTTGTGCTGTGATGGAAAACTAGTTCAGTGGGTTTTGAATTCTCAACTTCATCTGTAGCTGAGAAGGTTCCCTCTGTAATCAGATGGGGTGGCTATTTCTATTTGAGAAATATTTGATGATGTGCATATTTGGGATTAGAGTTTTGACAAGCATCCCATTTTCTGTCTGGGTGAGATCATGAGTGACCTCTTGCTGAGAAGCAATCTGTCAAAATGCAAATGCTGGTAGTATTGCCCCCGCAGCGGGAGCTGGGATGGAGGCAGAGCTCACTGTACCCAGATAGGAATGTAAATTAATACTTTACTGTTGCAATAACAGATTACTAATGTGTCACAGAAGTGGAATCGGCTGCATGCGCAGGAGGAGGTGAATGTCAAGCTGTATCAGACGGAACATAACGCTCAGGTAAGCGAGAAGGATTTCTCTGACTTGCATATTCCCATGGGCATAATGAACCAGACACACTAAAGACAAGATGTGGTTGTAAAGGGGGCATTAGGGATTCTATTAAAGGTCATATATATTGCTGTTTACTTAAAACTTAATTGCACAACTGTGTAATGTGGCAATTGTGCAAATAAGCTGTAAACTTCAGGAAAAATGTGCTTGTTTGTGTAATAAATAGTTGCAAGTCTCTTCATGTCTTAACTTCTCCTAACTCTTAAATCTTCTGTCTGCTTCCACCTGCAGTAATACCAGAATCATAAATGAGGAAGGTTTATTTTTTTAACATTCTCAATGCCTCTTACTAAAAATAACCTGTTACAATGGTTCCACTAACAGTATTGATTTTCTCATCTCATTACTGTGTCATTACAGTTCTCAGAAAGGTAAACACCATTTTAAGCTCTGGGGAACAAACCACTGCGAAATTGAGGCCTGCATTCTGAAATGCTTTGTGATTAAAGGATAAAGATCTCTAAAGGCAACTTCTCTGCTTTGAGCTAAAGTAGTTGCCCCAGTTAAGGCGGCACTTATCAGGCAAGACTTCAAGAGGCTTTATTGTTTGCATGTGAGCACTGGACTGACTGATGGGGCACACACCTATCACTTGGGCTTTTTTTCTGTTACTAGGGTGGTTCTTGGGGCTGTTTGGAACAGTTAGCACACCTGAAGGTTGCTGTCTTTCATGCTGGTGAGGCTTTTTCATCACACCTTTGGCTGCAGCAGTTGGGTTTCAGGAACTGTTTTAACATCAGCTATTTATACTTGCTAACAGACAGCAGATAAGCAGCCTCTTGAGGGCTGTCAGCATCGAATGCAATCTTGCTCTGCTCATACTTTCAAAACCTTTATGTACCCTTATAAGAGAATGAGCTGTCTGGAGCTGAAAAGCTTGAAGACTGGAGCTTGTGCATATGTAAACCTTCAGAATGAACCAGACCTGGAGTAAGGCTCCAGAATCACTAGGGGATTCATTAGCCAAGGCTTGGTGTTTTTAGTTGACTGTTAAATCTGCTGGTTCAGGTTCATTAGTTTTCCCAGTGTGTGTAGCGTGGTCCTTTGTTCTAATTTCATATTTTTACTTTTAAGGAATTGGAGTTAGAAAATCAAGATTTGAAAGATCGAATGAGAGAAGTTCAAGAGGAGCAAAGGATGCTGCTGGATAGAATCAGTGGGCTGCAACTGCAACTGAGTGAGGTAAGCCTAGTGTTGGAATAACCTGACTGGAAAGCTGTAATAACCACCCAGTGCTGGCAGGGGAGGCTGGTAGAAGTAGGAAGGGAAGCACCTGTGATTAGGATGTGGTCTCTGTTGCTTTCCTATGAATTGTTTCTGTGTCAGTGTCATTTTCTTCTGCTGCAAAAGCCTTTGGTCGTGTAATAGTATTCAGAATCTGAGAATTTGGGATCTGACCTATTACAATGTCATTCACTGCTGCTCATTAATGTGAGCAGTAACATTTAGGGCTGTACTTCCCAGTGTAACGTGAACTGTGAGGTGTTCTGGCAAGCTGTAACAGAGTAAACTTCACCTGCACAACTAATGTAGGTGGTGTGTTACACTTTATCATAGCTGCTGCTCATTTTGCAGCACTTGTTTTAAGTGGAAACAGAGAAAAATCTTCAATTGGCAAAAACAGAAACAAAGGTTTTCAATAGGGGGTTTCTCACCCATATTTGAAACCCTATTTGAAACCCTATTTTTAAAGTTCCCTCCTCTTAAAGGTGTAAATACAATCAGTACAATTAAGGAAGAAAATAAAAACAGGATTGTTTCCCTTTTGTGGAGGCTCACACTTATTCCCTCATTGTGTTTTTGTAGAGGTACATTTTAAGAGGATGCAGCTTCCTCTCAATGTAGCACTTCGACAGAAAGAATATTTCTTACTGGAATCGTTCTTTTCTGAACAGTTCTCTCAAGCATTGCCTCTATAAATCTAACTCCTTAATACTAACTTTCCAAAATCAACAAACTTCTACTGGAAAAACTCTACTCTTCTGCCTCAGTAGTGTATGATTTAGATACTTGAAGATAGTCCAGTTGTCATGTATGTATGTCAAGAGACATTGCTCTGTCAAAGACCCTGAACTTCTGTTCGTCCTTATTTCTTTTCCAGAGGTTAGATGGTAAAGCAAAGGGGAACAGTCATGTAGCATTAAAACTGGGGTAGACTTGTCAGCTGCTGAACTGTGTATGAGCCCCTTAAACGTCATTGCAGAAATGATTTGTGGGGGGATTTTCTTTGTTATTTTTGCAGGAGCAAATGTTTGCAGATGATCTTGAGAATGAGGTACGATATCACCTGCAAGTGTGATAGAACTGGAAGTAGGGAAGTGCCTATCGTATTTAAGTAATGGTATTTAAAACTGTAGAGAAGAGCAAAGCTATCTGTAAATGCTGAATGAAATATCCACTGGTTCGTGCTCAGCTTATACAGCTGCACAGCACTTCTGTTACTACAAATAATATATGTAATCCCTATGGCACCTTTACAATAGACTTTACTATTATAAATACATCTTTAGTGACTTTCAGTAATGCAAGGTTAATAAATGTGATAAGTTAAACAGTAGCAAATAATGGTGCTTATTCCATTGACTCATTGTTTAAGACTCCTCTTGTGGAGGAGCAGTGGAAGAACTTCAGAATCAAACATTTAAGAATCCTTTTCACTGCTGGTCTTGGTTGAAGTTCTCCCTAACTTTATAAAAGTTGCTTGAGCTCTTGCAAGTCTGTGTCTCCTTGTGGCTTTGGCTACTTGGTGTTTTCTCTTTCTCTTTCAGAAGGATGAGCTGAAGAAAATCCTAACCACCAAGGAAAAACAGCAGGAGGAAAGCTTAAGGACTATTGAAGCTCTCAAAGCTAAACTCAAGTATTACGAAGTATGTGAATTGATTTAAAATGTAATACAGCAATTGGTATTTACTGTAGTAAATACTTAAGCAACTGTTGAAAGGCTTAAATGGTTATCTCCTTATAAAAGCTTTCCCTGACCTTTAATCCCTAGTTTAACGTAGTGTAAAAATTTGAAATGAATTTTCAGCTTTATTTTGTATTTCTTTCTGTTTGCCTTTAGGTTGATTTTGTGGGATCTGGAAGTAACTTTGCTAATAGTAAGTATTTAGTTATTAAAACTTGCCATGCATGGTGCAGTGTTGGCATATAGATAAAGGGTGTGTTTTTCCTGTTCTCTCTTTCTTTTATTGGCATTAACTGTAGGCAAGCATGACGTGTGTGTCCATACCTGAGAGCTCAGAATCCTGTCACCTGGGCACAGTTGGGTTTGCACGTGAGGCCCTATTGATCAGTCTTGCTTATGAGTGACTGGTCTTGTAACTCCGATGCATCTTCTGATAACACAAAAAACAAGCCGAGCAGGATTTGTCCTCCCAGCTGAGCTCCCTTGTCTGTCCTTCATATCTTAAACAACACATGTCTAGCTTATGAGAAAACCACTTCTGCATCCAGCTTGGTCACAGGCTTGTCTTGCACTTGTGTAACTTAAAAATGTTACTTCATCTGTCTTGAGCCATTGCGAGAGCTGTTTGCCTGCTGTCAGGAAGGATCACCCATTTGGAGTGCAAGGGGATGCTTTTCCCTGGTGTGTTCATGGTGCTTTTCATGACTTCTGCAGGAGGGTTTAATGAGCCCATTACGGTCCCGTTGAACAGAATAAAATGAGGAAGGAGAATCATAGTTTTTGTGACTGTGTTACTGTTTTTAACTGGAGACTAAATGCTGTTTCCTTTGAAAATCTAGGAAAAGAAGATTTATTACTTAAACAAGGGCAAGTGTTTGCTGCGGAGTCACAGGTAATAAATATGTTACTGCTTGAGAGAGTTCTTAAGATATTTATGCTTGGGAAAGCTAAATGTAGTTATAAATGTCTGTATATTAACCATTGCTTCTGAATTCAGCTTCCAGTAGTACTTGCTTGGTCACGTTTATTTTTAAGTGCTGGTGCCCTCTAGAGCTACACATGTGACATAGCTCCAAGTGCTGCTGCTGGATGCTGAACAGTCTGTAATGAGCATCCTTACAACTCAATCACTGCTGCATCAACAGTCAGTGTAAAGGGCAGTTGGTTTTCACCTCCATAATTTCTTTTCCTACTTTAAATTCAGTTAAAATTCAGGAAACTTTATTTTCGTGCCAGCAAAACAGCAATTTCCTGACACTTTTGGCTGCTGATAGCTAGCTACCTTTTAAAGCAACAATTCAGTTGTAAACAAGATCCATCAGACCCTGACAGTGAGTCATACATGACAGGGACTGGTCCTGAGTGACAGGCTGTTCTTACACTTGAGCAATGCTTTTGGAGGTGAGTGATGGCTGGAAATCAAGCTGTACATCCTGGCCTTTCTGACCAGATTTCAGATATATGTATTTTTGATGTTCTGCTGCTAACACAGAAAAATCCAGTCCTTTCTGCCGTGTTTCATATAAGGTTATCCTGTGGTCTTATGATTTCTTTATCCTTAACTGAAGTTTAAAATGAGTTGATGTGTAATTCTTCACCAAAATAAAACCAACTGGCCCAAAAACCCCAAACCATGTCCCAGGCAGGAATTCACGTGCTTTAAGCTAGTCTAAGCCTAGCTCCCAGCCTGCCTGCCTGCCAGCTACATGGTGCTTGGAACACGAACAAGAGAAGGGTGGTAGTGAACACCACGTAACAGGAGACAGAGCTGCATTTTGAGAGATCCCTTCCTGGACAGTAAATTAAATGAGTGCGTTCCTCAGTGTTTTTAGAGAGAAGGTTCCATCAACCATGACAGTGTCTGTTCTAATTCCTTTTGAAATTATTTCCACGTGCTTGAGGGCTGGGGGAAATCTCTTAATAAATGAAACTTCTTCTAGCAGATGAGTGATTAAATATGAAGAATATAACAAGGGAAATAAAATGAGTATACTGTACCCGTGCGTTAGTGTCAGGAGGTCTGATGGTTGGGAAATGGTAATGTTGAGCTCTATTAAAGATTTTGCCTGTTAAAAGCTGAAATACATGTGTTCTGTGATGTGGGCAAGAATAGAGGAGTGTGTTTCTAAGGAAAAAAGAAACCTCAGACCTGTTCTGTGCTCATCACCATGGGTTTAAGACAGTTATGTATGTAGCTTGTCAAACCTGTAAACATGTACCCGTTTTGTGCCAATTTATCTTCAGTCCAGGTCTATGCTGAGACCCTTGGAGCTCTCCCTGCCTAACCAATCACCCACTTCAGAGAAGGAAGCTTTAAAGAAGGAACTTGACAACGTGAGGACCTGCTATGGTGCAGCAAAGGAAGAAATCAGCAAATTGCAGCGAGAGCTGTCTCACAAGGTGTCAGAGTGTAAAGCTTTGGCATCAGAGTGTGAAAGAACCAAGGTGGAATCTGACGGACAGATAAAACAGCTGGAAGATGCTTTAAAAGATGTGCAGAAAAGAATGTTTGACTCGGAAGGCAAAGTTAAGCAAATGCAGACCCACTTTCTTGCTCTGAAAGATCACCTGACTAACGAAGCTGCTTCGGGAAACAGTAAGCTAACAGAGGAGCTGAAGGAGCAGTTGAAAGAAATGAAAGCCAAGTATGAAGGAGCCTCTGCTGAAGTGGGAAAACTGAGGAACCAGATTAAGCAGAATGAATTGCTGGTGGCAGAATTCAAGAGAGATGAAGGCAGGCTAGTGGAGGAAAATAAAAGGTTGCAGAAGGAACTTGTGAAGTTGGAGATGGAACGAGATAAAAGGGGAAGAAATGTCATGGAGTTAGAAGGGCAGCTCAAAGAAACAGCAGCAAAGTTGGCCCACTCGGTAACTTCAGAGGCATTTGAAAACATGAAGAGTTTGTTATCGAGCAAAGTGAATGTGAAAGCAAGGAGGTTAGCAGAGATGGAAGGAGAGCATGAAAAACTGCAGGCAGAGATTCTGCTTCTGAAGAGGGAATCTGAGAGTCAGAAAGCGAAACTGGCTCAGCACGTAAAGCCAGAGGAGCACGAGCAAATGAGGAGTGGGTTTGAGAAGAAAAATGAAGAGCTTGGGAAGGCAGTTTCTGAATTGTCACAGAAGAATCAGGCTCTGCAGAAGGAACTTGAAAGATTGCAGACTGATAACAAGGTATTTAAGCAACAAATCCAAATGCTAAAAACTGAAATGAAAAGCCAGAATGTGCCTTTAAAAATCCATGAAGAATTGAAGAAAACAAATGATCTGACTGTCAGTGACCTGACCAGGAAGCTTTTTGAATTAACAAAGAAGTACAATGAAAGCAAAGCAGAAGCTGAAAAGTTACTGGCAGAGAAGAACAACTTAAGTGAGAACATCAGCCACTTCCAAGCTGTGTACCTTTCTCCAGAGCAGCACAAAAAAGAAGTGGAAGCTTTAAAATGTAATGGTATTGAGCTGGAAAAGCAGCTCGCTGAGCTGCAGAAAAAATATGATGCTGAACAAGCCCAGGTGTGCAAACTGGTCTCTGAAAACACAGCCATGAGACAGACTCTTGGGGATCAGTATGTGTTGGCTACAACACATGAAGAGGTTAAAATAGCCTTGAATAACACCCTTGAAAAGACCAACAAGGAACTGTCAGATCTGAAGGCAAAAATGGAAGAGGTAAAGCAAGAATTCATGAGGGCAAATGAAGAAAATGGAACCTTGAAAAACAAGGTGAAACTCTTACAGAATCAACTGCAAACTGAGTCTGTAAGTTTAAAAGAGCATGAAACTACAGTGGCTACTTTAAATAAAAGCATGCGAGAGCTTCAAGAGAACAATACTGCAGTTAGGGCTGAGTACAAGAGGGGTCAAGAAGAAATTTTACAGTTACATGCAGAAATTGAAGCCCAGAAGAAGGAACTTGACACAATTCAAGAGTGCATTAAGTCAAAATATGCCCCGGTTGCCTCCTTTAAAGACAGAGAACAAAGCTTCGAAGCCACAGTGAAAGAATTAAAAGCGCAGTTGGAGGAACAGGCACAGAAGTACAGAGAAATCGAAGAGGAAAACAAGAAGTGCAAAGAGGAGAATGAGAAGCTCAAAACGGGTGTTCTGTCCATCCAGAATGACTTGCAGCAGAACTATATCCTGGCTGAGAAATCCCATGAAATGGAGAAGATGTTTACAAGCAAAATGGAGGAACTGAATAAGCAACTGAGAGACTTGCTGCAGAGATACACAGGTGAAAAAGAAAAGGATGAGCTGGAAGAGAGCATTGAGCAGCCCGTGACTGTGCAGGCTGAGCATCTTTCAGCAGGGCAGATTGAAGCCTTGAAGAAGGCTCTTGGTCACACTATAGAGGATCTGAGAGAGGCCCTCAGAAATAAGAAGGAATGTTATGACAAAGAAACACTAAAAGTAGGACAACTGCAGCAGGAGTTGTCAGGTCTGAAAGAATCTTCAGTCTCTTTGGTAGAATATACACAAATGAAGGAAATGTTAGAACAAGAAATTGTAGCGATCAAAAGCAGCTTGAGAGAAAAGGAAGAAGAAAACCAAGTGAAAACCAAGGAGATCTCAGAGTTGCAGTGTGAGATGCAGCTTACTCAACAAGCTTTAACAGACCTGCAGAGGAAAGAAGTGATTGACATGTCAGAATACGAATCCATGAAGAGTACTCTGGAGGCCCAGATTAACAGCATAGCTGAAAGCTTGTCCAATATGAATAGAAAGTATGAGGAGGCATGTGAGGAGGCTTTGCAAGCTAAAAAGAGTGAGCTTTCTTTAAAGGATGAGAAGGAATTGCTTCAGTTACGGAGCTGCAGTATTGAGCAAGAAATCAAAGACCAGAAAGAAAGGTGTGATAAATCATTGACAACAATTATGGACTTGCAGAAGAGAATACAGGAATCTGCAAAGCAGGTGGAAGCCAAGGATAACAAGGTAGGATATGTCGGTTAAGCTCATGATGCTTTCAGTTTAGGGATAAGGAACTAGACTGCAAATGCAGCTACTTCAGTGTTCAAGCATGACTTTGTGTGCTGAGCATTAGGTATCTGGTGCTGCTGGTGTATCTGATGATGGTCTAAATACCTCAATGGGGCCAAAAAGAAAGATGGAGAGGGGCTTTGGACAGGGCCTGTAGGGATAGAACAAGGGGGAATGGCTTCAACCTGCCGGCGGGGAGATTGAGATGAGCTCTTGGTCAGAAGCTCTTCCCTGTGAGGGTGCTGAGGCGCTGGCACAGGGTGCCCAGAGAAGCTGTGGCTGCCCCATCCCTGGCAGTGTTCAAGGCCAGGTTGGACACAGGGGCTTGGAGCAACCTGCTCTAGTGGAAGGTGTCCCTGCCCAGGGCAGGGGTTGGAACTCGATGAGCTTCAAGGTCTTTTGAATCCAAACCAGTCTGTGATTCATCAGGCTTCAAAGAATGTTAAAGAATATTAGTTTTTGTAAGTGAAACATCCTTAAATGAGGGTTTTCATGGTTTTTTTTAAAGATAACGGAGCTGCTTAATGATGTGGAGCGGTTAAAACAAGCTCTTAATGGCTTGTCTCAGCTTACATACACCACTGGGATTCCCTCAAAGAGGCAGAACCAGCAAGTTGAAATGCTCCAGAACCAGGTGAAAACACTGCAGCAGCAGCTTGCTGTAAGTAATCCAGATCTCATGATTTCTATTCCTTCTTCCCCTGCCTGCTTCTCTAAATTTTCTGCTTCCTTCTCCCCACTGGAGTTGCCGCGGTTGGGAACTTTGCCAGGTAAAAAGGACACAGACAATTTGGAATTAGTGCTCACGAGCTACGCTGCTGTAGTTCATGCCGAGACCATTTCTATATACAAGTTCCACATTCATATTTCTTGCAAAGCCCACCAGCCCTGTATTTTCTCACTGAGAAAGAAATTGAGGTGGTCCTTCCTTAATGGATTTGATTTTGTGATTTTGTGTTCCCTTGCCTGCAACACTCTGAAGGGTATTGCTTGTCATTAAGTACTAACAGTAAAGGGGAATACTTCAAGTGTTGTGACTGTACACAAACACATTTGTGGCCCCTGTGACTTCAGTAAAGCTCATAATTAAAGCCGTGTATGTGAGCAAGGTTAGTTGTAAGTCTGTACAGAAGTAAGACCCGTCTTTAATAGTAGTTGTGAGCTTGACCCTTGCAAGGCAAAGTGTTCTTAAATTGGCTGGTTTTAAAGAAACAGCTAATGCTGATGATGAAACAAGTTTTCACTGTAGCACCTGTGCTTACCACACTACATCAGTGTGTTTCTGAGAGCCTTTCAGCAAAACTGCTTTGCTGCAAATGAGCAGTAATGAAAGTGAAGCAGTGACTTTGTTCCTGATTAATGGATGGGGGATAGAGCTAACTTTAACCTTGACATTCTGCTTTGGCTACTCTGTAAGTGCACAAATCCAAGCTCACGAAGTTGGAAAAAGGTAAGAGTAAATGTTAAAAAAAACTTGATGATTTCATCTCCTCTTCCTCTCTTCTTTTTCTAGGATGCTAAAAGGCAGCATCAAGAGGTAGTTTCAGTTTATCGGACACATCTTCTCAGTGCTGTACAGGTATGATAGTCCCAGGTTCACACTGGTTTATTGTCATCTCAGCGTGAGAGGTTCTTGAGACCCACTTCTTGCTGCCATACTGGAAGACCTCAAACGTCTTCAAGTACCTGTTTTGATGTGGAGAGTTTTAATTTAGAAAGGACTGATCCAACAAAAAGGAAAACACACCCCGCAGCTCTAGACTTGGGCCATCTTATTACAGCTTATCAATGTGTAACTCTATATAACTATCACCTGCTTTGGAGGGTGGTTCTGTCTGGTGATGTGAGCCTGTTATGTAATTCTGCATCATCCCAGATAATGCTGGGATGAGAGAAGAGAAATCCAGTGGAAGCTGGAAACATAGTGCACACTTACCCAGTGGCTCTCACTGAACCTAGAGCTGATAACTCATTCCAGTCTTATGACTCCAGATACTTGAGCATACAAAAACGGGAGTGTTACCACGGCAGCAGGCTGTGGAGTCCAGAGGGTAGGAACAGTAAGTTTTTTCCCCACATCATATTTTCAAGAAGGAAACTGCTGTGTCAGAGGCAGCCCCTTCTTATTTGAGGGGAAAAACAACAGGATTCCTAAAGTACTGCAGAGGCTCCCAGTGAGTGGTGAAAATACAGCAATGATTTAAGTCTTTTGGGTAATTTTGAAGAATCTCCTAATGTTGGTGATGGATAGTTGACACTTTATGGGACTCTAATTTTTCTTTAACTGTTTGCTTGCTGCAGGGTCACATGGATGAAGATGTCCAAGCTGCTTTGCTGCAGATCATTCGGATGAGGCAGGGACTTGTTTGCTGACATGTTAGTGCCATTGCTCGTGAAGGCTGCTGCATTGTAGGAGTGCTGTGGTTATGTTAGTGATAACCTTCATGAGGTTTAGATAGTTATGATAATATAGCTGCAATTAAGGCCTCCAAATATGAAACGATTTACAAAGCTGAAACATTTTCTTCTTATAAAACGGTAAAATAGGGCTACTGAGTTTCAGATGTGACACTTGTTAGATTAATAAAAGATGTAGAGCATCTTTTTAAAGCTGGAATACAAGCTGACTGTCAAAATGATGACATGGTAGTTAAATTAATGTCTGATTGACCACTTATTAAAGTAGGGCCTATACCCAGAAACTCATTTATCCTAGAACTTGAACTCTCATAGTATGGTTAAAACACAAACTGGCTTCAAATGAGTTTGGCTGAGTGGTGTAGCTGTATATCTCCTTTAATGATTAAGAGAAAGTGGCTATTTTGTCACATAAGCTGATCAAGGCATACTACAACATGTTTAGTGAGTCAGCTGCAAAGGTAGAGGAAAGGTGTTTAGGTCGATGTTGTAACTTGGCTGGCCAAGTTGCAGGCTTTATATTTAAATATAAGCTTAAGCTGTAGTGCCTTTTGCTTATTGCAAGACTTAAAATCAGGTTTTCCATCAAAACACTAACTTGTATGTTTGCCTCCTCTTCCCCCCAGGATTTTTCAGGAATGCTTTATAATACTGATTGCTGTTGGCTAAAGCAGTGGGGCTGGAGTGGCTCGGTTTGTAGAGCAGCATTTTGAGCTAAACTCAATAGTCCTGCTCCTGTGTAATTCATTCTTCATTAGGCCTGCGGGTGTAGACTGAGCAGCTCCTGAAGCTGCACACTGGACAATTCAGGTGTTGGATTTTCAAACACAGTCTCATGGAAGTTTAAGGTATTTTCCTCTTAGCTGTAAATTATGTACTATAATCTTATTTATGGGGAAAGATGCAAATAGTAAGGATTAATGAAAGGAGAATTTTGATCTGTTTGGAATCTACCTATTAAACCAAACAGGACTTCATTTCTAACTGAAGGATGATGTTCCCATAAGTAAGCTTTATGAAAGAAAACGGTGTAAGGGCTGTTGTGTTAACTTCAGTCTACGTGGTTGAAAGCATTTGCTTATAACCAGCAAGTAGGATCCTGATGCAGAAGAGAGAAACCTCCTCTTCCATGTTCCTGAGAAGTGAGGACCTAAGTCAGAGCGTGGAGTTCTTTGCTTAGTGGTGACTGAGCTTCCCACCAAGCTGTGGGCTTAGGTCCCACTGGTTTAGTAGTATTATGTTTGTTTCCTTTTTTATCCCTTTTTGGCAGAGTCTTGAGGAGTTGAAGAGACAACTGCCACATGGAGGAGGGTGCAGACATAGGGATGAATGTGCAGGGCAGTTTTTATTATATAAATACACTTAATATATTTACTAAATATGTGTCTGTAGTTAAACAGATCTACTGCTGCTTTCCTTTAATTTCTTAGAGGACTATTACAGAAAACATCTCAGTATATATGTTACTTCTTAGCCAAATTCTTTTATGATTGCATTACTTGAAACTCTTATTAGAGAGCATTTGTTTTGATATACTAACTCTGGCATATTTTGATATTGTATGGTTCCTTCTCAAGGGAGTTCTATATATGTTTTTCTAAATTTCTCCCTTGCTACATCATCAATAAAATGTTTTCTTCTTTTCTTATTGTAGTGGTCAATTCTGTAAAAGACAAAGAAATGTAGACTGGGTAGTGAAGGGTCTTGAACTCACTTGAATGCTCTCAAATGCCAGGTAATACATCTGGGGTTTAGATGTCCGCTGTGGGGTTATTGGGTTTTTCTGTCTATTGCCAGAGTTTCATAGAATCCCGGGTTGAAGGGACCTCAAGGACCATCTGGTCCAACCTTTCCAGGCACAGCATGACCTAGACCAGACGTCCCAGCACCTTGTCCAGCTGAGCCTTAACAGTGTCCAACGCTGGGAGTCACCACTTCCCTGGGGGGATCATTCCAGTGGCTGCTTGTTCTTGGTGTGAACCTGTGAACTTTGATGCACGAAGGTGAAGGTAAAGCCTGGGCCATGAAGTTCCTATGGCAGTGATAATCCATGTGCTTGGTAAAATCGCCCGTGAAGTGCCTCCTCCCCAGTGAAGAAGCCATCAGTACTTGTGCATTGCTGGTAAGTGGAAGGAAGAAATGAGAGGTCACAAAAATGTCTAATGTCAATGAAATGCATCCAAGAGGTTTGGGGGATTTTGGGAGCTGCTCCATGTCCCAATAAAGCAACATCAATAAGGTAATGCAGCCCATAACAATTGTTGGCACAATGCTCCTATTATGCAACAGCACTTCGTATAGCGAATATGTGACTTCTTTTTAGGTTTGGAGTAGCTGCCTTTGGAATCTGTCTGCATCCTGGGAAGTTCAGAGACATTACTGCTTTTTTTCTTAATCTAATGCCTGCATTGCTCTGCCAACTCGGAAAATTAACTTTTAATAGAAAAAACATACATGTAATTGTGGCAGCTATTACATCAGATGGATTTTACATTAAGTGAAAAAGATGTTGAGCATTTAAGGGCCGTTAAGTTGTGAAGCTTTCTCTTGTTGGACTCGTAGCCTTCGAGCCAGCCCTCTGCTGTGAAGGGTATTTATTTTTACAGTTGCAGAGTATGCTGGATGATGAGAAGGGAATACATTTGAAAGGAAAATAGGACATGAAAATGTGAAGGTTTTCCACTCGCTGAACAGCTAGTTTTATTTCATAATAATTAGTTTTACACTTCATTAAATGTTGGGATTTGTGCTTATGTGCTCTTAGGATACAGTGGGGAAGACTTTAAACATTCTCAGCAGGGCATCAAGTTTAGAGTTCTGTAATGTAACGGGCAGTGCAGAGTAAGATGGGATCTTACTGTCATCTTGAGGGTCAGGTGTAGTATAAGAATTATTCTGGGTACAAAGATACTTCCCGTTGGTGCCTTTCTTGCCATGCTGCTGCTGGAGTTTTGGTCTTGAAAGATCCTGGCTTATGTACCCATGGACAAACTCCCAAATGATGAGTATAGATCAAGTAAAGTTGTATTGTGACCTGGTCAGGGAGGACTTGGACGAGTGTCTGTGTCTTCAAGCAGCTCTTGAGCTTTATGGGTAGAACTGCTTGTGCCTTTGGTTTAGGAAAGCTGTCTATGAACATAGCTGAAAAAGGGGTGATCTGACCATGCGGATGTAGTCAAACTTCTAAATTCCTCTAAAAATAAGTATTTCTGAGGGAAGCAGGGATTGGAGAGGTGAAGTAGATCTTTCTGTCAGTGACGAATTCCCTAGGGTTTTAAGATAGGAGTAGAAATCTGGGAGGAAAAGAAGTACGAGTTGTGGGATACCAGGATAAAAATCTCTCCAGAATGAGGATGACTTGAACTTCAGGGAAGCAGCTGGCTTGGGTTTTATTTGTGTGTGTATAGAGGCCAAGGACTTAAAAGGAGCACTTGCTGCAAGCAAGAATAATGGACAGGGTTTTAGAAGAAATGGGTTGAGGAATTCCCATTAAGTATTTATGGGCCTGACTTGAACTAATGAAACTGGAATGTGTTCCAGTGGGTGAGCTGTTCCAGGGGTATACTGGAAATAGCAGGATGGGTGGTGAGGTATGATATTAAAGCTACCAGTGCATGGCCTAAGATCAGAGAGAACATTGTCCTCTAGGCTGGAGAGCTGCAGCAAGGAGAGAGCTGCCTGTGGGTGGACTCAGCTCCATCCCAGCCTGGAAAGCTTTAATTTTAGCTGAAGAAAGCATTCACAGGCAGTTGGCCTTCCCTGCTCCGACTGCTTCTGTGCACTCACAGCCGAGAAACTTGTGAAGATGCTGGTTTCTGCTGGTGGTTGGGAGATAACAGGAGACCTGTCAAGTTGTATTTAAGTAGTTGGCAGCCTGCATCTCTTGGAGCAGGACGCAGCGTTGGCTTGTCAGTGAGGAAAAGCAACATTGCTACTAGTGTGTTAGAGGTGGAAAGACACAGGAAACCTCAGCTCAGTTTTACATGGTAACACATGAGGAAATACTGAAGTCTTCAATTCCCTTCAGTAAGACAAGGAAGCACATCCACTTCTGCCTTTTATGTATCAAATCTGAAGTGGAAATCACTCCAGAATATCTGCTTCTGCTCAGAGGATGCTGAAACAATACATGCATGAGTGCTTTCTGATGCTAGCATGACATGTATTGAGACCAGCCACAGAGCAGAGCACTGGGCATCGTGCCGTGTGCCCGCGTGAGGCACAAAGCTGGTGAGTTTAATTGCTTTGATATGTGTTCCTTCTGAGGACCCACGTGCTCCCACAGCAGCACTGCTGCAGTGCACCAGCTGCCCCATGGCTGCCACTTCATCTGCAACGCTTTCCTTGTCATGCCTTCAAGTGGGTGAGGACGTTGAAGAGCAGTTTGAAACAGAGCAGGGAGGAAGCCTCCTGACTAAGAGGGAGCTGCTCTCTGATCTTGCATGTCCCTATGGAAACCAGGGGTCTGGAACAATTCCTTGCTGCTGGCTGGACAGGAGACCTGGAGCTTTTGCAGTGGATCACAAGGGGAAGGGCTTGGCTGCGGATGTGCGTGTTTAAAGGGTGGATGATAGGTGTGAGACCTCTAAATGCTGATCTTGCAGGAGCTAGGAATTCCAGCATCAGCTGCAGAGGGCCTGGATGTTCAAATGGTGGTATCCCTGTTGTCTTCTGCCTGGAAGAAAAAGGCCATGTCTCCTCTTGGGACTCCTGGAGCTTTCTCTGATCTGAAGCTCACCAGAGTTATCGAATTCCTATAAATGTGGATAGAAGACAACTGTGTGTAGGCATCTGAGCTCTTGAGTCTGACACGCTCAAGCTGTTGGAGGTTTTTCTGGAGGTGCTGTGTCGATACCTTCCACACACAAGGAGTGGGTGTGATGTGCTCAGAAAACACAGGGCCTTTGGTGTTCAGGCGTGTTCCTGTACGAGAACTGCGGCAGCGAGATGGTAACCTCTGCTGGCAGTCTCCTCCAGCCTCAGGCACTTGAGTCTCTCACATCCTACTGTTGCTGAAGGTGAAATCAGTGGGCATTTAAGTAGTGAGACGCTGTGATGAGGTGAGGGGGAGTTCTTTGATGGAAAGCAAACCTCGCAGGAGGTGAGGGTGGAGGGAGAGCAGGGTCTGGAAAAGGGAACAGGGCCCTCCAAGGGCTTCGGATTTACCTGGGAAAGTGAGGGAAGTACAAATCCGTGTTAATCTGGGCAGCTTTGAGGAATCCTGGCATTCCTCTCGGGTTTTCCGCACTTCTGAATGAGAGCTGCGGGTTGCTCACAGGGGATGTGTCTGGAGAGGACGGAGATGTGACATTGCACGGGACAACTT